TCCCATATATATGGGTAAGCGGATGAACAGTGACTGCACATAAGGATTGGTCAAAAAATCATGTACTCCGGGACGTAGTAAATAGTTAATTTCTGAAATACACTATCTACTACTCGTAGTACATAGTTATAATTATTTAACTGCACCAAACCTTATATATAGTGACATTATACATCATTTTCCCATATATATAGGGTTATATATGTATCATGCTACAGGAAAGTTACTGTTTGTTCCTGTAGTCACAGTAAGAATGTGGGGACCATAATTTTATTTTTTTCCTCATCTTACTTTCTCTTTCTTTTTATTGTGTCTGTATGAAAGTTACTGTTTATTCCTACAACATAAGACACACACACACACATATATATATATATATATGAGATTTACATTTCTGCAGCTGCTGAACATATAGCAGTCAAATATTTGTCATATATATACGTGAAAGCATTAAATATGGAGAATCATAACCATACAAAAGATGAAAGCATTAAATGTGAGAAATCATAACCATACACCTGTCATTGTTGTACGTAAAACGGTTGTAAAAATGATTTTACACATATGTATATAGGGATAGATTATTCTATGTACTTTTTTTATGCTTACCTTGTCTATGAATTTCTAACACCGTTAGATCAGAAGAGAAAGAAATAATAAATATTAGTTGAGATTTTGATCTAACGATATTGGATATTGGTAGGCATGAAAAAGAGGTAAGTAGAATAATCTATCCTTATATATATATATATATATATATATATAGAGAGAGAGAAAAGGAGGATTTTTGACTCCGGTGTCAAACTTTAAAATTTGACACCAAATCTTAACCGTTGATTTCTGTCAATCAACGATTATGATTTCCGCTAATCAAACTTATTAAATAATTATTAATTCTCAATAAATGATAATCTTTGATTGCAGAAATCAATGGTTAGGATTTGATATGAAATTTCAAAGTTTGACACTGATGTTAAAAGATCCTGTTCCATATATATATATATATATATATATATATGAGATAAGTTATTTTACTTACCTTTTTCATGTTTACCTTACTTATCATTCTTCAACACTGTTAGATTAAAATCTCAACTAACATTTATCATTTTTCTCTCCTTTCAAGATTATGATATAACAAAATTGAAAAATAATAAATAAAATAAACATGAAAATAAATAGGTAAAATAACTTATTCGGTTATATATATACCCATATTATTCATTATACACAGCAATAATTTTAGCACGGTGTCACCTTGCATCATTTGAAAGATGTTTACCTACCTTACTTCTCCCCCTACACCTCCCACCCTTCAACATGAAGTACTAATATACCCTTCTAGCTTATCCCTTTACTTTTTCTTTCCCTTTTAAAAATTTATGTCCCATAAACATATTCTGCTGGCGATATCAATAAACTTGAAGAAGACTACTAGTTAAAAATTAAAAAACAAACAAAGAAAATATAGTAATGGTGATAACTGATAAATGCACTATGAGCGATCAATTATTTGGGTCCCACTCTTTTGCGTTATATCTTACTTGATCCATTTGTCATCCAGTTCAATAATTGAGTTCCAATGATTTATTGTTTTGGTTGTTTATGTGTTCATACATATATACATAATTTCAATAAAATCAATTTTGACTGAAAAATCATTTTATCGTGGCCATGCAATTGTGATATTTAAGCCAAAATAGTGATTACTTAGAAGTTACCGGTAGAAATCGATGTTAACTGAATTAACAAAATGATTAGTCTCTAAACCCAGGAATTGATATATATATATATATATATATATATATATATATATATATATATATATATATATATATATGAGTCAGGATCATTTTACACCAGTGTAAGTTACACTCTCAATCTTATCCGTTAATTCCATTTATATCTAACCGCTCAAATTTTTTAGTAATGTGAGCCATTGGATACAAATAAATAATGGTCAAGATTGAGTGTAAGACTTCTAACTCTTACACCGGTGTAAGAATATCTTGCCCCTATATATATATATATATATATATATATATATATATATATATATATATATAAGGTTCGCTTTTTCTGCAGTTATAAGTTATCTGCAGTAAGCCCAATACAACGTCGTTTTGAGACAAAAATCATAGTATTTTTGTAATTTTAATTTATTTTAGGGTTATTATAGTCTTTATATTTATATTTTTTTAATTTTTCAATCTCAAAACGACATCATTTTGAGAATAAATGCAAATAACTTATCTGCAGTAACTGCAGAAATATTTTTCTGAAATATATATGTGTGTGTAATTTTTGTTACTTGATTTAATCTATGTGTATCAAAAAAATATCTTTAAGCCATGAGGAGTTAGTGGGTTGCTGGAGAGGAATTTTGATAGTTAATTTGTATAAGATTATAAATTTAAATTTTAATGCCATCATTATATGAAATTTTTTTTACATATTTTTGTTCCTCACATATTTTGATCTCAATAGATATTAATTAACAAAAGCAAATGCTCATGATCCTTTAAGGAGTTATGTATAATTTGGTTGTATCTCTGTTTATAAGAAGGATGAATTGACAATAATTTATTATAATTAAAATAAAAATTAGACATTTTAATAATTGAAAATTTAATATAATATTCAATCTTATATATTAAATTAGAATATAGTCTCTTTTTTTAAAGTGATTTAATCTCTCTTATAGAGTGTCACATATTACTTTTAATTTACTTTTTTAAAATTTTAAATTTAATTTCTTTTAAAATAAGTATTCATATATATATATATGTATTTAATAATTTTAAATATTTTTATTTTAATATATACTTTATAGATTATAATTTAAATAATTTTCCATTTTTTGTAAAATTATTGCATATTTTTCTTTTAATTTATAATTTTAAAATTTTATCTGAATTTAAAAATATTTATTCAATACATGACTTACATACTGGTTAGTTACTTAAATGATTGAAAGAGAGGACTCTATTTTACCAAAAAAAAAGAAAAAGAAAGAGAAGACTCTAGGTATGTGTGGGAGACAGATAATTGGATGAAAATTAAGGGAAGAGAGAGTAAATTTTTTTATTTTAATAAATATTCTCTTATTTAATTTTTTTAAAATGAAAGAAATAAAATGATAAATCATCATACAACTTTCCAATCATTCTCTATTTATTTTTATAAACATTACACAACTACTTTATTTAAAAATAAAATAAAATTAACCTCCTTTCTTTTCCCCCTGAAATGCTCAATCTATTCAAAACGGTCATGTTGGTTCTGGTTCGAAATTCTCAGAGCCATACAATTTTCTTTTCTGGTAAAAGCCAATAAAATAGTATTGGCTCATAAAGTCCACCACGTTGAAGCACGTTGTGGGGTCATTAAAAGTTAATGGAACTCTTAGATCCAAAAAATTACAAAATAAGGAAAATAATGTCCACTTTATCACCTTCTCCACTTTTTTACATCTAATTGAACATTTATTTACATTGTGAATGAAAAGGGAAGAATTGACTCAATATATAACGAGTGATATCCATTGTCCAGTAATCTCATTATATACAATGGTCCCTGATAAAAATTTAAATAATTTGAGAAACATGTGGAGTTAGGAGATTTTTAGCTATCAAAAAATTCATTCTATTTATTATGTTAGGTCGAAGCTAACTGAATTTGTCACCGGTTAATTACTTCATTCATAAATGGTCTTCTTGCCTTTACAAAGTGTCCTACATCTATGATCTATCTACCCAAAAATCATTATTTCATCTCGTAAAATAGATAATGTATTCATCATTATCATCTAACTAGATTAAAATTAGTATCTTTTCTAAACCAACTTCAATCTTTAAGTTTGTCAAACTAGGGTGCTCTACACGGAAGCTTGGCCACGTGCCTTCATGATCAATTAAAATTTGCTTGTATTATTGTTCTTATTCTTATGCGAAAAGTGTTTATCCTTTTAAATGATACAACTTGTGTCATTTCACTCTCACAAAGAGGTGGGACCCACACTTTTTTTTTGTCAACTCTCTCTCTCTTAAAATGACAACTTTATATCCTTTAAAATGATACATACTTTTTCCTATTCTTATTATTATGGATTTAACTTGTTAATATGTGAAAAAAGTAAATGATATTATGCATTTAACATTATTATTTTTTTCGAATTATTAGAGATACTATTTTAGATATAAATTATAAGATATTTGTTTTTGTTAGTATAAATTCTATGTTGAGCAATATTTAATTCAATTTCACAGGCATTATGGGAAAATCACCCTAATGATAAGTACAAGAACTATTGAAAGCATCCCATGAAGGATAATTAAGCTCACCATACCATTATCAAAGAAAACTTGGGATCCATGATTACTTGAAGGTCAAAGATAACCATCTCAAGGGCAATTTAGTAATCTCAAAATGCCCTTTTGCCACTGAAATCCAAAAGTCCCCAACAAGCAAAGCTGACCTACAAATGGGCCAACTTATTATCTCCATCGTCGCTATCTGCAGGCTGTTCCCACTACTTCATCTGTTAAATTTTTTCAAAAATATATCATATACGTAAAGAAAAAAAAAATTTATTATTATTTTTTCAATTTTAATTTTATTACCCTATCATTATTTTGCCTTTAAATGATCTATTTTATAGTTTATCCCTTAGCTTTTCTTTTCCTTTTTCCAGCACTTACGTATGACACACATAAGAGAACCCAAAGCGACTCTTCCTTGTCTTTCTTTTTTCAACCCAACCCCATAAAAAAAAAAAAAAAAAAACCGAAAGATTCCATACCCCCTAATCGTAAAAATTAAAATAATAACATCAACAATTAATAATAATTATAGACACAGAGAAAGAAAAAGCTAAGCCAGCTTAATTAAAGCATAATTTATCTAATTTTCTATGATGAAATTGACAGATCCCACCTAAAAATAAACAAATATATTCACTCACCACAAAGCATCTCCATGCGCATAATAAAAACCCTTTGAGTATACTATTCCCCTTGTTTTCTGATATATTCCCTTATTCTCAAGCTGTAATTGCTTAGGTAGGGACAAATATCTCAGCCTAATAATATGCAGCTCGGAGACGTAACAGTGTTGGAGAACACCTCCGGGGAAGCCGTGGCGGCGGCGACGACAGCCCTTGAGGGTTCTAACGGTGGCGAGGTGATTGCTTTGGATGCAAATTCTGGTGAAGAGAAAGGAAGGGAAGGTGGTGGAGATGAAGGTGATAAGATCAGCTGCGGAGGAAACCGGTGGCCACGCCAAGAAACCTTGGCTCTCTTGAAGATAAGGTCGGATATGGAAGCTGTGTTTCGAGATTCAAGTCTCAAGGGTCCACTCTGGGAAGAAGTTTCAAGGTAATATATATATATATATATATACAAGTATTTGATATAATTATGATTTAACTTAATTCCATTCTTATATATATATATATATCTTATGTTTTAAGTTTACTTTTTTGTGTATTGGTTTCTTCATCTTTGTCTATGCAGTTTTTCATCATTTTTCAAGGAATCAATTGGGGTGTCTTATTCAAGTATCAGACAGTAATTCAGAGTCTTCTTACATTTTGTAGTAATAAGATTACTCATGTCAATCCAATCAGATTACTGGAATTCTTCTATCTGAGTCTAATGTAATTAATTATAAAGCATATCCTATGGTCACGAAGAAATATATAATATATATATATATGCATAACGGATCCATAGTTGAAATGAATCGTACTTCTGTGTGAGTTTAATATGTTTCTGCGGAATTTGCTCAAATTTCGTTGAGTTTATCTTCTTCTTACTAACTAGTTTGTATCTTAATTATTGTTCACTCTTTTAGGTATGAACTACCTTCATGTTTTTAATTAAGTACGGTGAGGGTAGTATTTTTTCCTCGTCCAAGACTTCTTTACGTGTGAAGCAGTAGTTTTTTATTTATTTTTAGAAATTTCCAATTTTCAATGGATGACGATAACAAAATTTGATCATAATCTCTCTCTCCCCCTCTATATATATCTATGTAGGAAACTAGCAGAGTTGGGTTATCACAGAAGCGCAAAGAAGTGCAAGGAGAAATTTGAGAATGTGTACAAGTACCACAAAAGAACCAAAGAGAGCAGGAGTGGAAAATCAGAAGGAAGAACCTATAGGTTTTTTGATCAATTACAAGCCCTTGAGAACCGATTCACAGTGTCTTACCCGTCAAAACCACAACCTACTTTGGCAACAAACACTGTGGCATTGCCAACAACAATCTCTTATGTCACCACTGTTCCATCCACAAACCCTACAGTCATTTCTCCTTCACCACCACCACCAGCAGCACCACCAACCAATCCTACCACCCCAACTTCCACAACAACAGTAACAACCAACCCTAGAAACCCATCATCACAAGGCAATAACAACAACAATGTACCATATTCTTTGCCCAACATGAACCTTTTCTCAACCACCTCCACCTCTTCTTCCACTGCTTCCGATGAAGACTTGGAAGAGAAGTACAGGAAGAAGAGAAAATGGAAGGACTACTTCAGGAGGCTCACAAGACAAGTCTTGGCCAAACAAGAGGAAATGCAGAAGAGGTTCTTGGAAGCCATAGACAAACGAGAGAGAGAACAAGTTGCACAACAAGACGCTTGGAGGATTCAAGAAATGGCAAGAATCAACAGAGAACATGAGCTCCTTGTTCAAGAACGATCAACAGCAGCAGCAAAAAATGCAGCAGTTATTGCTTTTTTGCAGAAGTTGTCATCAGGTCAGCAAAATCCCACAACACAAGCTGTAGCAACAAGTGGCAGTTTCCTCCAACAACCACCGCCACAACAACCACAGTTATCACAACAACTACAACCACAACAGCAAGTTCAGCAGCATCCTCCACTTAACAACCAAATTGAAATCCATAAAATGAACAATGGTCACAATTCTTCTCCATTGAGCTCTTCTAGGTGGCCAAAAACAGAAGTTCATGCTCTGATAAGGTTGAGAACAAGTCTTGAACCCAATTATCAGGAAAATGGACCAAAAGCTCCTCTTTGGGAAGATATATCAACTGGGATGCAGAGGCTCGGGTACAATAGGAGTGCAAAGAGATGCAAAGAGAAATGGGAGAACATTAACAAGTATTTCAAGAAAGTCAAGGAATGTAACAAGCAAAGGCGTGAGGATAGTAAGACATGTCCTTATTTTCATGAGCTTGAAGCTTTATATAAAGAAAAGAGCAAAAACCAGAACCCTTTTGGTGCTTCATTCCATAATATGAAGCCAAATGAGATGATGGAGCCATTGATGGTGCAACCGGAGCAACAATGGAGACCTCCTCCTCAATATGAACAATCGGAAGATGGTTTGATGAAGGAGAATAATAATGGAGGTGAGTATGAAACAAAAGAAAGAGAGGAGCAAGACACAGAAGAAGAAGAAGATGATGATGATGATGAAGAGGGAGATGATAACATGGAAGAAGATGAAGGAGGTAACCGTTATGAGATGGCGACAAACAAACTTTCTTCAGTGGACACGGTTGAATGAGACAAGATAAGGAGGTTTCTGATTGGATGAAGAGTATTTTCAATTTTCAATTTTAATTTTAATTTTTTTTTTTTCAGTTGGGATTAAGAGATGTAACTGAACTTTGTCATAGCAGATAGTCATTCATTCAAAGGCATGCCACAAACACCCTGCACTATAAAATTCAATTCTTTTTTTTTTCTTTCCTTTTTATAATTATTAAGACTCATCTGGGACTGCACAAGGTACCTATCTGACACACTTTCTGATCATGGGCCAGCTATCATTGCAGTTGTGGGGTGGGTCAGATTCCGGCCGCCATGAACTGGAATCTCAGATTAAACACAAAACAACACTTCACATGGGCCAGCAAAGCAACTATAGTGGGAGTACATCTTTTAGCCTCATAAATTTATGTGTAAAGTGTAAATTGAATATGACAGAGAGATAGAGAGAGAGAGAGGAAATAGATCCCATAGGATAAATAACATAAAATAAAAAAAGTCACATGCAAGTCTTGTAATTTTTTTTTTAATGGTGTTTGATCTATATATCACACAAACCACTCTTTGTACTAGTACTTTGAATTTCCTTTTCTCGAAGGATCTATTCCCAGTTTTAGTTGTGTGTGAAACGGTTAAATTAATAAGTTGGAGGAATTTGTTAAATTTTCACCATTGACTTTTTTATTAACCTGAAATTTTTCGAGAAGATGGATGTCCCCACTCATGGAATGCTTTAAAATAGAAAATGTTGAGTTTGTTGAAAGGAAAGCGGCTGTGACAGCAAAATAATGCATATTGATTTTGGGATTAGTCTAGTCAGGTGTCATTTCAAGGCTATTTGTACAAGTTACATTATTTTATTGTTTATGTATATAAAAATTGAATGGTTCAGTTCTTCATTAAAAAAATACTGCGTGTGAGGGTTTGTATAAAGGAACAATTCCTGTAAAAAATTAATAAATTAATTAATCCCTATTTTATATTACAAAAATAGTGTCAACATAGCTACTTGCTACAACATGACAGCTTTGCAAGAGCCATCCCGTTCAGGTTCCACAGAGAGGAATCTTATGACTCCATATGTTCTCAAAATAAGCCATTCAATTACTATATTCTGTTTCTATGTTAGCCCTTCTTGACTTTTGTACATCAATTATATATGTTGGGATTCTCTTCTCTAGATTAATAGGTTCAATATTGTACTAGTGGGGTGGGGAGGTAGAAAATGTTTATCACCATAACACATAAGGAACGAACAAAGAATAAGTAAATGACATTTGATTTGGCATAAAAAATAGACAGATAAAGTAAGGATGTTACATACTTCATTCTTGATGAAAAAACTGGGAAGAAAAAAATCGTCCGAGTTCACTACCAATGCATACATCTTCATTTCAAAGAACAACTTTTGTGGGCCATACTTCGAGAACAACAAAAAACAAATAAACAAGCTGTAAGTTAAGGGTTGCTTTTCTGCAGAAGGATTTAAACCCAAAGCTTGTTGACGTACTTCTTCATTGTTGTACTTCCAAAATGCTTTAAAGGACTTCTGTCAGTGGAGCTAGTGTTGATTAACAATTGCAAAATTAAAAAGAATGGGTCAGTGACTAAAGTTTTGGTACCTGCAAAATAGAAAATGTATATATGGACATCGAGTCGGGGAGTTTCTTAGGTCAGGTTGATACAATAAACTTAAAAAACTAAACTAAACTAGTTAAATTGGTGATTCGTGATTAAAATTGTCATTTTCATGATTAAATTGTGTTTTATCCTGAGGATAGAGATGTCTAGTCAAAGACTAGCGAATTTATCCTAGATCTAAGGGTTTTGTCAGGATATCTATGGAAGAGATATCTTTGAGGTAGCTGATCACTGTACACTAGAGAATAACGGCATAGCCAAATAGATAGTGTGTGTGGACAGAGAGAAGTGTCATGTACGAAGGTTTTACCTCCTTTTTATATAATTTACCTGTAAGTAATGAAATTTTGGACCGTTGGTGGATTGTTGGGGGGTCCAATGTCTAATCTATTGCTGTCGCACTAGGATAAGTATCAAATAAGGAATCTTTCCTTAATTTTCCTGAATTTCCTCTTAGTTGTTGCCTTTCTTGGTCCTTTTAGACTATAGGCTTTTATGTCAGGTCCATAACAGTTTCCCACTAGCCCGGTAGTCTGGGTTTTCGAGTAGCTGCGATTAGGGGTGTAAATGGGCCAGGCTGGCCCAGCCCAGCCTACGGCCCGGCCTACATTAAGCCCAGCTCAGGCTCGGCCTTTCAGAAAAGTAGAGTAGGCTTAGGCTTATAAAAAAGCTTTTTTAATAAATAGGCCATAGGCCAATTTTGTCAAGCCCGGCCTACAGCCTTGTAGGCTGGCCTATTTAATTTATGAAAATAAAATAATAAAATAATATTTATTTTATGTGGCAAAGACACAAAGTACTAAATACCAATATCTCTTACTTTTTGTGCTATTTTATTTTATAAAAGAAAAACTTGTCTAATGTCTCCAAATTTTACATGTTGTTGCAGCTTAATACCATGGAGCAATGGGTACCTTGCTGGATTATGATGTTACTGATGAAGATCTTTCAATAGTACTCTTCTTTCCCTTGTCTTGATGGTGGTTTAAAGATTTTTAAATGAATGACATTCTCTTGTAGACTTTATTTCAGCATCCAGTGATTGTATTTTTCTTATTTTTCTCATTTCTTTGACTTTATTCCTCTATGATATACATTCTAGAGCTGAGGTATTATGTTGACTCTTTCTTGTTTGTCATCTTTTTCTTATGAGAAGTACTAGTGCATGGATGAATGAAACTTTCTTTGCTCTATACAATTTATTTTTTTTGCTTAGTATATATAGTGGGAAGCCTACAAGGCCTGTAGGCCATGTCAGGCTTTCTTATTTTTGAAAATGGGTCGGGCTTGGCCTACAAATAAAGCCTTTAATAGGCCAGTAGGCCAGATAGGCTAGATTTTTTTTTACGTAGGCTTGGGCCAGGATGGCCAAAGCCCAGCCCAGCCCATTTACACCCCTAGCTGCGATGCAAGTGACATTATGTCTGTGGTGACAGGCTTTTTTTTTCGTTGAGTCTCATCCGCCGTGTTGAAGCTCTTTTGCGACGAAGTGATCGAGTCGGCCGACGTGGTAATCATTATTAGGACATGTTTACGGCTAGAACTGTCGCTCTTCGTAGTTGGGACTTGCCCATGCCCGTGGTCTGAGCTTAAATGCTTTGGATTTCGAACTGCCGAATGAGCCTGACTTCGGCTTTTTGGTTTCCATAAGTGGGGTTTTTTCTCGGGCATTATTCCCTTAAATTTTTCTGACCGAGGTTCCTATTTGGATTGGAGGGACTTCTCCCTGCTAGGTTCCCAGCTGCCTTTCAAGGCTCCGCTAATCACATCACAGTTAAACTCAGGTTCCTTAAACTCGTCGCTGTTTGTCTCCAGCTTTTTGCCTTTGAGTCTTCCTTCTTTTTGTCCTTTGATAGGCTTTAACTTTTGCTTTTACTATTACTCCTTTGTCTTCGCTTGCCATTATTCTTTCTTTGTGTTCTGATCAGGTATTGGCATAATTTTCCTTCCTAGATGTACTCCTCCATAGCATCCTGGAGGTCTCAACATTCGTTAGTGGTATGCCTGTGGCCAATCTGAAATGCACAGTACCTAAAGCGGTCTAGGCCGCCTTTGCCACGAACTGGCTTGGGTCTTTCTGTATGCACCTTCTTCAATGCGGTCTGAGCTACTTCCCTCCATATTTGCGATCAAGCAACTTTTAAGGCAGTGTATTTATCATATCTTCCCCTGAAAAGGCGGTTGTCTGTGCTCTTTCCTCGAAATTTGGATTGCTTCATATTTCATGTTCGATCACTTTCTCTTTTGGTCGGGCTCCACCTTTATGGGTTGCAGCCTCTTAGCGCTACACTCAATATGGGGTTTGCCGCCTCGATTTGCTCCAACACCAAGTACTTCTTCGATCAAGCAGTCAACTCCTTCAATGTCTTCACTGGATCTTTAATAAATGAACCTCGCTAACTGAGATGTCCCATCTAGCCTAGCCAAGACTAAATGAAAGTGTACACTTTCCTTCAATCTTGGGACCTATAATGCCGCGTCCTTGAAGGGATTTAAGTATTTCCGAAGTGGCTCCCTTATCTGCTGTCTAACTATCCCTTAGGTGAACTAGAACATTAGATTTTTCTTGCTTGTGGAAAAATTGAGGAGAAACTTGTTTGCGAACTTTCAAAAGATCCTATTGAGTTTGACAGCAGCCTCGAGAACTATGTCATTGCCACTCATTCCAGTGTTGATGCTGAGGGTCAGGATATGATTGGTTCATCAATCCCCTTGACATACATGTCTGTGTTAAAGGCATTAAGGTGAACCTTGGGATCTTGGCTTCCATCATACTTCAATAGATGTGATGAGTTCAAGCCTTCTGGGTATGGTGCATTCACAATAATGTCTGTGAATAAACTATTATTGTGTTGTCCTCTGCCGGCAGACGCCCACCTCGCCTTGGCCTCTATGCTACATTTATCCCCGATCTTAATCATTTCAGTCGCGATCAGCATCTCGCGCTCCACCATCATCTCTATTTCGGTCGTGGTTGTCGCCTCAGCCTCGGTTACTTGCTTCATTTTCATTTATGTTACCTGCAATTTCCTTTCTATCGTGATCGTGATCCCAGCCTCTTTCCCTTCTCTTGTGTCCTTCACCTCGAACTTGGTCTCCTCTTTGATCTGGATTGCTATGTTGGTGTAGACGATTTTCCAGTTTCCTGATTCTATGGGCGTCCACTCGACTTTGGATCTGGTATTGGTTCTCCATCTTCTCTAATTATGTTAAGGGTGTGCTTAATTTTTTTTCAAAATGAAGGACAACCCAATACAAAAAAATTGTGAGTTTTGTTTAAGTATTCTATTATATAAATAATGGATAAAAAGAAACTCAAGCGATTTTTTTTCCAACATGTTCATTGAATCCAATTATTCTGATTTGAGCACTATCGAATTTATAAAGAGACGATCATTTCAGAATCATTTTTTCCATTTCTAAACATTGATTAAGGGAAATAAGCTTTTATCACTTAAATATTTTTAATATATTGATATTTCATTTTCCTCGACCTCATGAATTTCAAGAATTCGATTGTATTATTTATATCACTCTTGTTTGATTTTACTTTTTTGTGTGTGTCTATCTCCTAATTTATTGTCAACAAAAAAGTTACTCTTCATGTATATAAAAAAAAAGTTACTCCTTTCACTAGAAGACGAGGTTGTGAAGTAGATTAAGTGAAATGGTTTTTCTTTGATTGCAATGAAGCAAGTTATTAGCATTGATATATGATAGAATTTTTTATGATTTATTTATTATTATTATTATTATCCATTTTTTCTTTGATCATTGCTTGCTTTTATTCGAGTTTATTGACTATTGAACTCAATTAATATTAAATCAAGATAATGGTGAGATGTTGATTGTTGCACATTCGGCAAGTGTAATGATTGTATAAGTAATAAAGAAGTTATTATATCGTTCCTATGAGGATTAAT